CTCTTTCCCAACCTTCTGCTCCCAAAATATCCTAACCCACCTTTTGCTCTCAAAATATCTTATCCGGCAAAGTTGCTTGCAAGTCGCGAGCCACAACAAATGCACCTTTTCAAAAAAAAAAAAGACAAAAAGAAAAACAAAAACAAAAAATTTTAAAAAAGGAAACAGAGAGAGACGGTGTAATTGAGGCCGTTTAATTCCCAACTACTACAAGGCCAACTAAAACCTCATCAACAACCCAAAAAAAAAAACAGAGAAAACGACAAAACGTATTGAAGTAAGCAGTTAATCTCAAGATTCGTTTATTTTATTAATTTAAATATCACATTTAATTTTTTTATTATAATAAATTTTTTTTACATAAAATAACATTACAATTTAAATTAAAAATTTAAATTAATAATTAAATCGAGATTATTTATTTTTCTTTCTCTTTTTTTTTTAAAGAAAAAATATAAAAAAACTTTACCGTACAGATGTGTCGGTTACTGCCATAGTTGGCTTTGGTAAATCTCGAAACCGATGAGGGAATCTTACATCTGACTGAGTTTTTACTTTTTTTAACTTTTAACGGTGGATTCTTGTTTCTGATAGAATCACGCAAAGGCTTTTAAACTAGGGTTTGGTTCTGCAATGTTTCACTCGTGACACGTCTGGGGTAACTGCCACGTTGCAGGTTTTTGTCGTTTTATCTATCAGTCTCTGTTCTCTTTTGGAACCTGGTCGTTACTTTACCATCATTTCTTTTTATGTTTATTTTCTTATTCTCCTAGGCTTTTGGATTGGCACAACGTTTGTCACTTCTCCAAACAAATAATAATAATGATGATAATGATAATAAAATTGTTATTATAATGTTACGCGGAGAATTGCTGTCATTTTTTAACTGTTAGATTACGTTTAAAAACGATCTTTCGATACTACCTTTCATTGTTATTATTTGCTTGAAAGTTTTTTTATAAAATGTTATTCACATTGGAAGTCTTACATAGGCGGACAAGGACCATGTCATACACGTGTTTTTATATCACTGTGCATGAACAAAGTCAACGCTTCTCGTGAATTTGAATAACGAGTTTATAAGAGGGTGTTTAGTATGAGAATTCGTGTCATAGTTCGAATTATGATTCGTAGCTCGTTACAATATTTTTTTCACAAAAAATACACGTAAATCGAGAATAGTTCTGAATACGTGAACCAAACGTTAACTAAGTTTGAGAAATACTAGCATCACTTTTTCTGGCAGTCTCTTTATCACTTTCTGCTTTCACTGTTTAACACGTAAACTTCACTAACATGATATATTATATGTTATTTAAATAGAAAATTAAATAGTGAAATTTACGTGTCAAAAGTGAATGTAAAAAGTGACAGATAGTGACAAAAAATGTGATACTAGCATTTCCCAAATTATTTTCAAATATACCTATTCTAGTCTCAATTTTGCACCATATTCATTTATACATTACATGACCTTGTGTCACGCCCCGAAACAGGAGTTAGTGATGTGGAGACTCGTTAAGAAGTTAAACCTGATTAATAGAGTAATTAAGCATTTGAAAATATGAAAATCAATTTCAAAAGTAAAACATTGAAGAAGTTTCTAAACAAGCCCCACATTTGATGAAATTGGATTACAAGAAAGTGATGGGGACTTTCATAATTCTTTGATAAAACAAGTTCAAAACTGAGCCTCTGGCACCATTCAGGGTTTCCCCACAGGATATTCCATATTGTACATACATGAACATAAAAAAACAGTTACATACATCAACCACTGGCTAGCAATATTTAGGGTTACAATTCATAGAATATATAATCCTTACATTATAACGAGTCATATATGATTATAAAGTCCTCACTTGAACCTCTTAACCAAGATTTCAAGCGGTAGTAACTTACTCAGCTACTCATCGTTGCTTGGGAGGAGTTAAATACATTGAAACAGAAGAAAAATGAGCAGAAGACCCAGTAGGATATATTTTAAAAAACTTTATAAATAAATAGAAATGCACAGTCCCAACACATCAGCCGGAACCAAACATCATTTTTTCTAAAAGGAAAATATAAACTTAAATTACGTATTACAAGCATCATCAAGTAATTTATAACTATAATAAATTACTTACATAACCACAAACACAAGCCTTATCACCGCCGTAGTGGTCCGGTCCGGGTTTCGGGTCCTGCCCCCAAGGATACATCTCCATATCCTGATTTCTAGGCCATCAGTGGGCTTACTAGTTTGCAAGATATCTTATCTTAAAAAAAAATTTATTAAAACCTCAAATTGGTTCATTATGAGTTCAATAGCAATAATCA